GAGAGAGAGAGAGAGAGAGAGTCATAAAGCAGAGAGTTGGGCCGTCGCCCTAGACAATGCGGTTCTTGAGCTGCTCAGATATTGAAGACGCCCGAAAGCGGTGTGTACCAATCCCGGTGTGTACCCAGCGTCTAGCCCGCTACTCTACATTATTAAATCTCACCTGTGTGGACCAGCCACACGGCCGGATGACGTTCTTTCGTCGCTCGAGCGACGTGCGTCGAATTCTCAACAGGGCAGAGCGTCCAAGCCTGGAGTGGTGGGACGTTATCACGGTGTTATCGCGGCGGCCTGTGGAAAAGTTTTAAGGGTATCTCGAACGTCGATGGTAGGGGGTTAGCGATGATAATCCACGGCCACGTAGAAAATGGCGAAACGATATCCCTTTTGAAAGTCGCGTTTTCGATAACTAATTTCTTCTGTTACACAACCCTCCCACCCTGTGTGTGTACGACTCAATGGCACGCAGTTAACATCAGAAACACCTGCGCCACGTATTATTCTCGATTGGCGATGCTTATCCTCAAGGCTTGTTATTCCACCGCCTTATTATTTAACCGCTAATTATTTATTGTTCACGTGAAATTCTATCGTTCTTAACTAACCACTTAAGCTTCAAGTGGTTTTCGTGGAACTTGCTGCGAGTATCCAGACTGAAAAGAATTTTACGAAGGTTTTTTGTTAATACCGTTACTTCTGACAATGAAGGAGATTAGACAATCGTTTAGATTACAAATTTTAATCTGTAGAATTTTAACTGTGTGAAATCTATGAAATTTTCAATTCGGTAGAAATTACGACGAGTGGACGTACCGAGGAAAGTACCTAATCTAGAAAACATCTGAAAAATTGTCGTCTATTGTCTAACTTCGTTGGAATCACGCTCGCAATCAAATCGTCGCGAGTATGATCGCGCAAAAATAAATTCTTCCCCCATCGTAGATGCATTCTTTTTTCCCTCATTCGGACGATCGGGAAGAGAGTCCGCGAAATGGGAGAGAAGCACGGTGTCGGAGCGCGGTGGTTGAAAATAATTCACGACGCGCCCGACCATGCGGTCGCGTCTTAAGCAGCAATAACCAGGTCCAATTAGCCAGCGAGAACTACATATTCCGTCTCTCATTTACGACGGCGTAATGCTACCTGTTTCACGCAGAGCCACGTATAATTACAGGCTAATGCCGGAGCGTCCGCAATCGTGGCAGGTGGCACATAATCGCGGCCTCGTAACCCTCGAACGAGTTAATCCGTGAGACGTCGCGCCGTTTCCCGCGACGCCTGCAACCAGTGTCATCTCGTCGCCGCCGTTAGACGACGACGACGTCGACGTCGACGCCGACGTCTCTGCGTAGTTGTCGTCGCCGGTTGAAATCGTTTAAAAGTGGCTATATAGCGAGGGCTTGATCCGCTTACTGGGTTTAAAAGTCAAGTGCTAAAAGCGCAATTCATCCCATCTAGTCGAGAAAGAGCGGAACAGAGGCGGCTGCGGGGGAGGAGGAGAAGGAGGAGAAGGGGGAGGAAGAGGCCGGAGGAAATCGGCCGTGGAAAAGTTTCTAGGAGAAACGATAGAGAAAAGATAGCTGGCTGTTCTCGCTCCAGTGTCCCTGCTCGTCGTCGTTCCGACCACTTCGTTCAACGACTCATTTTATTTCCCGACGCGAGCAAGTATCGTCCGTCCCGTATGAAAGTCTCCCTTCGTTCTTTCTACCTTTCCATCTCTCCCTTTCTTTTTTACCCTTCTCTCTTTCTCGCATTCTCCTTTTTTCCCTTTTTTCTTCTTTTCCCTTCTTTCTGTCTTTCTTTCTTTGTTTCGCGCCGGGTTCGTTCGTCTCGCGCTCTCGTTTCTAGTCTCTGTGTTTCTATTTTTCTGCCTCTTCCAAGATTGGAGGGTCGACGGAGCGGAAACAAGGGGTGACTGCGTCCTTTCTCTCCCCCACGGGTTTTTCTTTTTTTTTTTTTTTTTTTTTTTTTTTTCTTCATCTGCTCTTTCTGTTTGCACGTCGCTCGAGTGGCACCGTTTACCGGAGCTGAGGATACGTGGTACGTATTATTGCGACGGCAATCGTCATAGCGATAAGCTATGAAATTTCTTACACTAGAATTGGCTCCTCCAAGGATCACTGCATGTTGCTTTGTCGATGTCTTGTCTATTAATGTTTGTTAGGTACGAGGCTTTCGCGAAATTTTCGAGACTGTTCCCGTCACTTTTTAGCTTTCCATAGTTTATGACCGAATCATAATGTTGGTCTCAAATAAATTTCAGAGATCCCAGCAAATGTTTGGGAAAATTTTATAATAAAAAGAGATGAAACAAGAAAAAGGAATGAAATATAAAAAGAAAGAATGCAAAGAAATAAAATAAGGAAAATGTTATAATAAAAATAAATCCACAGAGTGCTGAAAAATCTTCTCAGGTCAAAGAGGTGTTTGACCGTTCAGTACTTGCCCCAGAATCTTCGAATCGAGAAGATTGCGAGTTTTACAGCGAGTATTTCTTCCTAGCGATTTCTAACATTTCCTTTACCTTTTGTTCCTGAAACATTTTACGCTTTGCCGTTACAATTTGGGAATCTGATAATGTGATTTTCTGTCCACGTCGAATTAGTAAAATTCATACGAGTCGATTTTCTATTACTTTGAAGTATTACTTTTACCAATTTCATCTAATTACTTTTCCTTAGGTAAAAGTACTTAAATGATCCACTAACCGTTCCCAACTAATGTTCCTAATTACTGTAATACCTTGTCTACGAACTACTGAAACATTGTATTACATACATGTGTATATATATGCGCCTATAATTTGTGCCTGATAATCCTCAGTCTGGAACTTGCAAACTAAGATCGAAGTTCAAACTAAGTTAAATTACGAATACAATCTGTCCCCGTTGAGCTGTAATCTGTGCCATAAATGTGATCGATTTACGAAGCAAATGATTCTCTGTGAAGCAAACTGGCCCTACTGTCGATGGTTTTTCAACTTTGATTTTCAAAAATCAAACGATTATTCTAGAAGTCGGACTTTCGTATGTCTGAGTTACACTCGTTGTCAGATAAGCGAGCAAAGACGACATAGTGTTTCACGCGATGACTCACAAATCCTTTCGCGATATTTGACGTGGATAGGCCGCCACCCGGTTCGCAAACTCCTCCTCTCGACGACGACTTATCATCCTCGCAGTTTGTTGTGCGTGAGCGATCGATCGTGATAAACAATTATCGAGTAATGAAGCGGTCCGTGGCAATAATTAAAAACGTCGATGAAAATTTCGATAGCGGCGATATTTTTGCGAATTGGGCGGCGCGAATTCCCGCGAATGACCAACGTTTCCTGATAAGAACTGCGATATTGTACACGTATCGATCAGAGCCAATTATTTCACTCCGATTTTGCGAATACCGTCGACATCAAGATGATCGATTTAATGTTGTCGCATCGATGGTTAAGCAAGCTATGATCGATATAAAAAAAGAGATTACATTCGAGAAATGTGTGATTGGTCTTGCTGGTTTATCAAAAAATAATGGTTTCGAGGACTTTATTCCTCGTCCATGGATTGACTTAATGTCTTTGAACGAGAATTTGTAAGTCCAATTCTTGAGATGATAGTTGCAATAAACATTACAACCATTGTTACAGAAATTTTATAATGTAACAATTGTACGATTTTATTATTAATATTTTATGTTTTTATATTAATATGTCGCGTATAAAAGTGTCAAGCGTATCGCAATATACTGACGGGAATTTTTCTTTTATTTCAGGGTAGTATACAGCAGAGAAGCCAATCAAAGGAAAAGACACGACTTCCTTTTCGTCCTTCAGGTGTATTTCCTAGTACAAGCAATAGCAGAATCCAAATCTAATTCTCCATATAAAAGGAGATCTCTATAAAGAAAATATTTTCTTAACGATGTTTTTAGACGATCTAACATCTTTTGAATTTTCCCGACCAAGTGGCCAATTTCTCGTCACATTTGAAGGAATCCAAATCTTGCGACAAATCGTTCCACGATTCTCACCGATTATTGAATTGTCGTTGATGCACGAGGAAGCCTCGTCCGATGTGAGCGAAGCTTAAAGCTCGAAACTACTTCGAGTCAACGACACCTGTGTTGGTGTGAGCGTTGCAGCGAGAGCGTGAGACAGGCAGCAAGAAATAGAGGGGCGAGAGGGTGGGATGAGGGTTGCCAGGGTGAGTTACATCCGCAGGGAGGGCACCAATGTTATTAGAATGCTTGGGAGTAGGTTCGTAATCAGCAGTACTCGCTGGCTCTCCAATTCGAGTCGAATTCACAGCCGAATCACGTCGTTATTTAACGAGATTATGTCGTTAACCGGCAGGATGCAGCCTCGGCCGATGTCGATCGCGATATGAAATTAAACTCGTACATTTTTTCCCTGATTAACGAGCGCCGGATGCGTAATTGCGTTTACGCTTTACACGCTCGCCGGCTCGGCTGTCTCGTCGGAATGTTCTGTTGTTTGCCCCGTTGTTCGATCGATCGATCCAACACGTATAATGCTGGCAACTCCGCCTCTCTCTTCTTTAAGAAATAAAAGTCGTAATTAATGAGTCGTAACGAATACTTGCTGGAAACATTGGGAACTTGCTTTTTCAAACGTTCCTGCTAGTACGCTGCGAAAGTGGCGACCTGAAATTTGAAGAGAGTGATTAGCTGAAATCCGAGCAACGATCCAACAAGAAGCAAGTAACATCGTGGTAAGTGCGGGAATTGAAATTTCATGCGATTGTTTATTGCGAGCGACTGAACGTGAGAGAAATAAACGAATGGTTGTTGAGTGAAAGAAGAGTTCATAGTAATCTATGATTTCTTCATTTTGGAATTTTATCTAACATTGAAACTGTTTTTTTATTCCCCTGAAGAAATATTTGTCAGAAATAATTTCTTCTCAATGCAAAGCCGAATTTTGAAATTATCAAAGACAACAATCACTCGCTACTGTATTCTAACCTAAACAAAATCGAGTCAAACCCTGCCCCTCTTGCTAAAGGAAACGCGATCTTACATCTAACGCTGCCTTCGCATCGAAATAGCACACGTCGACCGATCATTTTCCCAGTCGAGCCATTAACACTCTCGCCCTCTCTTCCTATCCTTGTCTCTCCTCCATTGATTTCCAGCAGCGATGTAGTGTCCGGAATAAGTCGTAATAAGAGGCCCGTGAAACATATCCAAGATTCCAAGGGTTTCCCCTCGATTGGATCAGGCCTCTAATGAACTCACCGACAGCCGAGTCTCACGGTTCTCTGCGGAATGAATTCGTGCGTGCCTCTTACGACTCGCCGATCGGAATGCCGTAATGGAGGCTGCCTACGGAATATCGGGACGATATCGTTGAAATCGTGACGTCGAACGCGATCGCCTCGTTTCGAGGACAGGTCCCTGCCAAAGGGGAGACCAAATTTTGATTATTTTATATGAAACATCAAATAACGTGAGGGCGTTTCGACAGTGATTCATTCTTCGATCGCGATCATTGAATCGAGGAAGGCGTCATTAATTACTGGCTTTGATGTTACTTGGGTTAGGTCGTTGAATTATTCTTAGTAGAATTTCACGAGTCATAAACTGTAGATTATCTTGTAAATTATCAGTACAACAGTGAGTGCACATTTGACAAATTAGAACTTGGCTGATTAGCCGATTATAACTTGTCTCTCCCGTTTAATATCGATTCGCCAATACCATCGATTATCAAAGGGATAGAGCATCCTTATTCTGAATATGTTCAACTTCATCGTCAATTAAAGTTTGGTGATCCACGCGCGTGATGAATGGACAATTTTTCACAACCACGGACGGTCCATCAGAGACTGATTTTAAGGGGATGAAGAAGAAGGGACGCGAGGAACGAACATTCTTCGAAGATTGAACGTAAGAATCACGCGGGAGAATCGACGCGATGTAATTTACGTAATGGAGTAGAAAGATGCGGGGGAGGGGAGCAGAAAAACGCGGGAGACCACTTAAATGGCTCGGTTTCTTGTTTACCCTAGGCTTTAGCCCCTGGCAGCGAGCGTGGGATTCGTGCGCGAGCCTCGTTGTCTCGTCTCTGGCCGATTTAAGCGGCGAATTTATCGCGACCAGCTGGTCCGCGTAACGAGAAGGTGAAATGCACGAGGTGCTTCTTGCGGCGTGGTAGATTGGATACGCGAAGTGGGTTTTAATGGGGCGGTATCGTTGCTGGGACTATTCAGACCGCTCTGGGGCGAGAGATTTCCCTTCGGCTCCGAAGAGCCAATCGTATTGGCACAGTAGATCCTCCGACAATTTCGCCGTGGTTTAAGAAGAAGTCGAAGAAGAGTTTATAAATGAAATACCACGTAGTTTTACTTATACTTGGATTCCTCCTTCGTAACAATTTCGAACTATTCTCCATAGAACAGCGAATATTAACAAGCTTGCAGGTTAGAATTAAAGAATATTTGTTACTGGTAATTTTTCTAAATATTTGTGAAATCTTGGCAAGAATCGTTTTTCAGTGAAATAAAGAATCCTAGTAGCGGAAGAGGAAGTTCCACGAAATTGTCGTTTATAAAAACATGCAGAAGAAGCACACATAATGATAATTTATTACGTGGCGGGTTGAAAAAGGAAAAAAAGAAAAAGCAGGAGAATCTTCGTAATTGAAATACGACGGTAGACCATCCAGCCCGTCCTCCGACTCGACAAGAAACAGCCTGCGCACGGTGAATATTCAGGAGGCAAGGAAAAAAGCTCCCGAACAGCAGGACAAAAAAATGTTTATCAGCCGGTCGTTTCGGCTGGTGAGCGTGCGTGCGTGCGACTGGCTGGCAGGGAAACCTGGAGCATTGTGCGCAGAATTTCCACGGGGGAGGAGAATTCATGGGGTAATTCCGTGTTCGATACACCGTGTGCGCTTAAGGCTGCGATGTTACCGGCGTCACATAAGCGTAATACCGGATAAGCCGCAATAATGCAGACCCGCTGTGCGTGCATGCGAAAGTGGAATGGATCCTGCTGCTCGGTGAGCTTCAACGGCCAAATGTCCGTGGAGCGTAATCATCTCATAGTGAAACTCTGTCTTCGCAAATTCGCGGCAACTTTCCCCTTTTCTCGTGCCGGTCATCTTTCCGTCGAATTGTGGTTCCCGCGTCTTCGATCGTGTTCGTTCGTTAGGAAGGAATGTCGAGAATTTTCACGTCGATTTAAGATATATACTCACTCTACCCATTGCAAGCGAAGGAAATTGAATTATTTGTTTCACATGTAGTCTTCCAGTGCACGATAGTGTTCAAATAAAGCAAGATTGGAAAATTCACGAGCATTCGTAGAAGAAGAATCTTAAATCATTTACTTGCAAAAAAGAAAAGTTCACCACTTAAATTGCACGTGACAGTATTCTCATTGGCACATGGAATATCTATCAACAGCGAAATAAACTGTTGTTCAATTAATCGGAAGAAATAAAAATTAGAAATTTTCAGATCCACTGGAGCGTTGGAAAAGCGTTCAAGTTACACCTCTGCAATGTACATGAGTAACCTGTTTAATACATCGTGTGTCGTTTCGACAAAGTCTAACGGTATACACGTTAACGACGACATCCTGGGAAAAAAATTGTCAGACGCGATC